TCGTGTCAGCGGCAATAGCCGCCGCGCGGCGCTGGTCTGCTCTTGCCGACCGCCACCTACGTCAAACCGCGCAGACAGAGCCCAACAAAGGCCTCCGTGTCCCGCCCGTTCGGCATGGAGCGCGAGGTCCATGTCAGCCTGGACCCGGACAATCCCACAGGGTTTGCGGGCCTGCCCGGCGCATGGGAGACGATTCTTATGTACTCGGGCATCATGCGCGATGAGGCTATGGCAAATCCGGAGGCTGTCATTGATGTGCTTAACTTTTCGAAAAAGGCCGAGGGGAAGCGGGCGAGTGTTGATCGCGCTCTGCCCCCGATTTATCTGGAGAGGATGAATACGCCGAGCATGACCTCGTTTGATGAGAGGAGTGATGGCTTCTTGAGCGATGAACTTACGAGTCAATCGTCGGGCAACTCGGGGATTGTTCAGCTCGGGAGGATGAGCTTTGGTGGGGAGGAGGTGATGAAGGTGAGGAGGAGGAGTAGTCAGTATAATCTGCGCTCGCATCTCGGGCCACTGCCGCCGATTCCGAGCTCGGCAATTAGCCACGTGAGGAGGTCGGAGCCGGTGAAGATAAAGGAGATAGTGGGGCCGGGAGAGCCGTCGACGGATGTGATGGAGAACTTGATCGGGTCGGAGCGCAAGGTTGACTTACCGGACGGCATTCCCGATGACTTGGTCGCCGATTTCAGAGAGGATGATCCTTTCATGCTGTTCACGCGCATGGAGCAGATCGGCCAAGGCTCGTGTGGCAACGTTTACCGCGCTGTGGACAAAAACGGCAGGTTTGTGGCACTCAAAAAGGTCAAGCCGGAGAGCTCGCGCGACTGGAAGCTGTACAAGTTCGAAGTGCAAGTGATGCAGGACCAGTACAAGTCGGACAACCTAGTGGATTGCTACGATGCATTCAGAAGCGGCAACGAGCTGTGGATTGTGATGGAGTACGTTTCCGCCGGGACGTTAGCGGATTTGCTATCGGAGCAACGAGGCGCCGAGTTTCAACGGTCGCAGCAAGCACAAGCCGAGGGGGCTGGCGAGGTCGCTGGCGGGCGCAAGATGGAAGAGAACGTGATCGCATACATCTGCCGCGAGGTGCTGCGCGGGCTGGAAAGCTTGCACTCGATCCGACGCGTGCATCGCGACATCAAGGGGGACAACATTCTCCTAGACATGGACGGGTCGGTGAAGATTGCGGACTTTGGGTTCTGCGCCGAGCTCTCCCGCGGGTCCGGAAAGCGCAACACAGTAGTGGGGACGCCCTACTGGATGGCGCCCGAGGTGATCCGCGGGGCCAACTACGATTGCAAGGTGGACTTATGGTCGACGGGGATCCTGGCGCTCGAGTGCGCGGAGGGCAAGCCGCCGCACTTGGACGCATCGCCGATCCGGGCAATGTTCCTGATCGCGACGCAAGGCGCGCCGGAGCTTAGCGAGGCGGCGAAATGGTCGGAGACGATGCGTGAGTTTATTGGGCTGTGTTGTAAGGTCAAGCCGGAGGAGAGACGGTCGGCTGAGGAGATGTTGCAGCATGAGTTTATTGAGGGAGCTTGCTCGCAAGCAGACGCGGCCGGGTTTTTCGCAGAGGCTTGCGACCTGAGATTTAGGAAGAGGAGGGAGAGGCGGACGAGGGGGTTTAGCAATTATCAGTTCCAGACGGAGAGGTAGAGAGGTGGAGAGCTAAGGAGGTGGAGAGCTAGAGAGCTAGGTACACGGTAGATAGAGGGGCGGCTTTTTGTACAATACCGTAGGAGAGAGGGCAAGTATAATCCTCTCTCCTCAAAGGAGCTTGGCTACCACAGTTAGCATGCAGGCACCACCACGCTCGGGTAAGGGGGGCGCCGGCGGCGTACGTGCGCGCACCACGGGGCGTAGAACGCCAGCAGCAGCGGCCGCGACGACGGCGCGGACAGGTACGACTAGATCGTCCGCGGCGTCTGGTCGTGCACATTGCCCGAGGCTGAGGCCAACGGCACGAGCGCCAGGGCGGCGAGCAGGCGGAAGAGCATGGCGGCGGACGGGGGGGGACAGGAGGAGGGGAGAGGGGGCAGTGCGGAGAGGGAGGAAGGGCGCTCCCACACACACCACATCCCCCCCCCCCCCGGTGTGACTACAAACACACACTTGCGTTTAAGTGATATATGCGCATTGGTTGTGTTGTCGCACAGTAGATAGTGTGCAAAGATAAGACTCATCCGCACACCTCCCCTCGGTAGATACCTGTTTGTAGGACATACTAAAGCTAACACTTTTAGGTGCTCTCTATCTCAGTGCGAATTAATAGGGTACCGTTCTCAGAGGCTCAGTTTGAGACAGGGGCTAATTTGGGACAGCGTTTTTCAAAACATGCTTTCACGTTTTTTTCTCACATGAACTGAACAAGAGTTCTGATTGTGCCAAAACATACTGTATTACGTCACATACTCCAGTCCGCAAGGTTCAGAAAAATTTGAAAATTTCGTTTCTCATACCCCCTGACCTCGGATTCTCGTGTACACGTGACTGTTGAATGAACCCCCCTCGTCGTCGTTTTTCGTCTGGATATCATGTCGTTCAACTTTTCTCTCCCTGAGCTCTTCTCATCTGTCAGCATCGCCTTCACCGCACTTCTCTTTCGTTCAACCGTGCCTGCAAGACCTCAATTCTTGTTTTGCAGAGCGAAACTTGCTCAGTAGATTTGGCGGCATGCAATCTTCGACAAAGCAGGTTAATTTCGACCCCAGCTTCGATCCAGAGCTCGACTGGTACATGGCTTGTGGCTCCAACACCAAGAAGCGCCAAGCCATCTATGTCTTTTTGACAGATAAACGAGTTCAGATGGGAGGAACACTTCATACTTCTCCCCTCCGAACCCCTTTTTCTGGTAAACGGGCGGGGTCATTTCTCCCCTGCGCAGATTGCAGATCCAAGAAACTAGGTTGGTCTGTCATAAGCGATACAAGGTGGTACGGCTCTAGAGTGCGCACAGCGCTCCAACGTTGAAAATCAAGAGTCATTCCGAGACCTTCAAGGAATACCTTCTGCTTTATCTCCGAAAAGCTGCCCAAACAGCCCAGCGATCAGGATCGCTGTCATGACTTTCCCGCATCTTGACATGTATCAGTGAATCTGGCATTATTCCAAGTATTACTAGACACGGAAGGCGTTCGAGCGGGCTTTTGTGCAGATTTGTCTAATCGATCGGCCGTTGGTGACGTTTTTGAGCTCTTAACGCTCTTGGCCTCCCTCGAAAAGTACGGCAAATTCCGAGTGACCAACTCTGAGCAGATGGAAAAGCTTGAGACTGAATGGAGCCTTGGATCTCTTGATCTATTGGAAGTGAGGAAGAAGCGAAGAACCTTCTTCGTCAGCAACAATGCCATGGGTTGCTCAGATTGGAGGCTCAGTGTTGAGGCGGTTTTTTCTGACAAGGCGAAGTCGGCGAGTGATCTCGTCCGGCTCAGAGAAGACGTTGAACTGCAGGCATCAAGAACCAAGCTGGTCGTATTCGGATACTGGCAGGAAGCAGAAAACGCGTTCCTTTCGGCGGATATTGTGATGGATTGTGAAGAGGAGCATGGGTTCGATTCCGCCTGTGGCATCATTTTGGAAAGACAGTCCGACGTGCAGCGCGTCGAAAAGACGATGCAAACCTTGACCGCTATATGTGGGTGCAATGGGCCGTGCCGCACACTTCGCTGTTCGTGCATCAAACAAAAGACGAAATGCATCGGCTGCCAATGCGACAGGAGGTCTTGCCGGAATCTTGCTGCGCAGACAACTGGCATACTCCACGGCAGCAGCGAAATGTTTACTTCGGACGAACGTGAAGGGGAAACGGAAGTTGATTGCGCTGGAACGAGTGAGCCACCTTTCGAATCCAATGTCTTCAATCCGTCTAGCCTTGGGAGGGAGCTCGATCTCGTGGAGCTCCAAACCCTTTTTAGCCTCGCGTAGAGGCTGTAGCATGTGCCAATTTTGAAGGGAAAGCATCGTATTTAAGGCGGGACCAGGTCGCTCACCGAATGAGAAAACAGCTAAGCATGAACTGCGACCTCCTGAGTGGGTTCGGAAAAGCTTCTCTGAAGCTTTCGAGGAACACTTCTACGCGCGACGGGTTTGCACAAGACCTGAATATCCAGTGGTAGTATATTTGCTCCACATCCTTTGGCGGGGGATATGTCTCGATGTACTCACGATTAAGCCAGATGAAGAGATTAAGCTCATGGAATGGTGATAGGCAGCACATGTTGTGTATGAAAAATATGTTTCTTGGGCACGAAATGGAAGAGACCCAGGCGGTATACGCACAAGCAGAATACCTTTCGAAGCAAGGGAGCTTATTCGCGCCAGGATTTCGTAAGACTCTCCCAGGGGTAGCAGGAAACAACGGCAGTACGGCATGATACCACGGGCGCCTTTATCAAATGCGGAAACTACTTCGTGTAAAAACTCTTTTTCGAATGGTGGATTACCACCTGCGCCTTCAATGTCCTTTTCCCTGTCTTGCCATCTACCAAGGGAGCCGAAAAGTTCGTCACATGGATTCGCGCTACAGTAGGACCCCATGACTCCGCTTTTGTTGAACGCGTCCGCGAATAATTCCGTCGTTACCGGCGAAGAGAGAAACCAGAGACTGTAAAGGTCCGGCGTGACGGTTCTGGTAGTCGGGTTGAAGTGCGCTTCACATTTGAGGTGCACTTCGTTGCAAAGAGCCATAAGAAAAGAGACGTCGTTGCAACCTGGCATCAACGTCGCCGAACCCTTTTCGTTGCGTTATAAGCATTTTTCCACAGCCACGCGAGATATTTTAGTCTCTAGTTGGCTTTTCGACGAGACGGACTCGCCATGCGGTACATACACTGCACGAGAAAACCGAGCGTATAAACGTCGCGCGACCTCTGCGCGAATCACAAGTTTCGATGCCCTGCCATAACCCTGTCAGTACTTTTTGGCCACTGAAACACAGTAAACAAAGCAGCCGAGACCGTAGCAGTTACCGCGCCGCAGCCGGAGAATTTCTAGTTTATGCCCTTCGAGCGGTATTGGTCCGGCACAGCATGTCGCTAGTAGGTCGCAACATATTTGCGTTGATCGGTGTTTACTGATCATTGGAGCACCGCGACCTTTCCAGCGCATATCTAGGTCATATTCGTGTGTTCCAATGGACATATCGAAGCGTGTGTGGTTTCTCCCAGGGTCTAGAGGACGGAGCGGCGAGCACGATTCTGTGAAACGAAAATTTTCGGGGATAGCAAGGAAATTGGTTGTGTAGACAGGCGATGAAGGAGTATCGCCGGCTCTGCCTCGGGACAGCCGCAAGTGTTGGTTGTCCTGCTTCGGTTCGAGCGGGTACGGGAGGAGTTTGATGCAGAACGTGCTAGCATAAGCGGGACGAAGTGGTTCGCGTCGGAGAAGAGGGGAGGGGAGGCGTGGTTGGATGGTGAGTAGATGTAACGATCGAAATCTGGAAGAGCACTGCAATGGGCAGGAAGCAAATTCTTGATCATAATTTCTACGCTCGCTACGCAGCCCTTGCTGCCTCGAAATGACGATTTTCGAATACAGGAAAAATGGTGCCGAACCTCACGGACTGACTCTCTCCGCGCAATCGTTAGACATGACGAACCGCAAGCTATCTCGTAAAATGACCCCCTCAATCCGGTCTCAAGCTGCAGCATTCAAGCGACAGTCACAACGGCGAAAAGACGAGCAGAAACGCCGGGAGGTAGCCCTTGAGCTACTCAAGACGCATCGCAGCACTCTGGAGAAATCTCGTGTCTCAAACGTCTCGCGCTCCACGGTACACCGCATCAAATGTGCTTATGAGGAGGTCGTCAAGACACACTAGCACAACTCCTTGACCACCTTCAACACTTCGCAGGGCGCCCAAAGGTACTGCAAGAGGCAGAGGAGGAACTCATCTGCAACGGAGCTATTGAGGCCTCTCAGAAAGACTTTGCAATTGACATGCGCACCATGCAAAGCCTGCAAGCCAGAATATCGAACGATGGTCGCCGTGGTTTTCGCAGTCAGCTACCATCCCCAGCCACCATCCGATCATTCCGGGCTCGCAATAGGTCAATGACGTACCGGAACTCGGAAAAATTACGGCAGCCCGGCTTGCAGCAGAAAATGTCGCCATGTATGTACACTGAAAGTGTAAGGTATAGAGAGGGACACGCACAGTATGGATGTCTTTTTTTTATACTTTGTATAAACATACTATGCATGACCTTCTAAAAAGGACTGACTCCTACATTCTTTGGAAGGATGGCATAGAATTGCACAATAGGTTCTATGCCATATCTCAATGACTTCTAAAGGAGGAGTACAGTATCCAGTAGTATTAAAGAGGATGGTCGGGGAGATTGAAAGCAAGGACATAAGCGATATTATGGAGACAAGTTATGTAATGAAAGGATAGTTTGGTGTAGTCTAGCATGTACTGTATTGTTCTAAGTTTCAGCTACGATTTCTATAAAAGGCGCGGAGTTCGGACAGGGAAAGCAAAAGGGGGCAGAAAAAACCACTCAGTAACCCTGAGAGCCACCCAGCCTGCAAACCCAAGTGTGTCCGACTTAAGAACCGCTTTGCAAAAACGACTCAATACAAGTAAGTCACTCTGTTAATTTTATTTGCCCTGCGCACCGCTAAAGAAAGACGTGCTTCTTCAGATCTTAGAAAAG